TACTGATGTTTATGCCTCCTTCGCTCTTGTGCTCTTAAGATATTGAGTAATGCAGAATAGCAGAAAGAAAATACCGGGTTGTTTGACTGTGATTGTGTGTTTGGAAAATGTGGAACCTTTTGCTATGAATACTTCCACCACTTAAAAGGCCTTTTCCCCATGTCCAAGACCCTAGCCAGTCATTTGAACCTGTGTCTAAGACCTCCTGATTAGTTAGTGGTGACACCCCACATGTGAACTCTAGCATTTAGAGGCTGCCATCATGGTGAAGAGATGATAGGTATTGAGAGAAATAGCATGCGCATCTTTCGCATCAAATTGTCCTGACCCCACTGGTCGAGAGTGAGTGATTCATTTTCATTTTCTATACGCTCTTGTACCCCGGTGAGGACCTAGATTGCTCGGTCTCTATTATGATGTCTTGAGTTGGATGCATGAGCTGACTGTTTTGAGTAAGTGGTTGAATCAAGTCTAGGTTGGCCAGTGAACAGACGGGAGACTCTTCCTTTACTCGATTTGCTGCACTCGAATGTCCTTTGTGGTGGTTGTCCAGGTTGTTATTGAGGTTGTGCATGTATTGATGTTTGAAAACCAGTGCGATTCACGTGTTTTGTGCCTTTATGACTTGTCCCCAATGTTGGTTGATTGAAATATTTAAGCTTACCTAGTGTCTGACTTGGTTTGCTTGGGGACAAGCAAACGGTTAAGTGTGGGGGAGTTTGATAGACCGATAATTGCACATGTTTTCACCCCTATTCTGAAGCCGTTTGTGATGTGGAATCTCGTGTTTTAAGCCGATTTCACGCTAGGTTGTGTGTTTATGTCATATTTCAGGACCCGGCGTTGGAATCGAGGCGGAGAAACGAGTTCTGGGTCGAAAGGAGCCGAGTTGGGACTAAGGGGGCTGCAGGAGGAAAATACCCGGTCGGTTGGCAAAATACCCGACCGGGTATTTATCGTTTTTGGCACCCGTGAGAAGCAGAAGGGGGCCCGGGCGATGGCCTTAAATCCCCGGTCGGGGATTTTGGTGGTAGACCGGGGATTTTCCCTGAGGACGAAACGGTGCGCTTCAATTATACCCGGTCGAGACCCAAAATACCCGACCGGGTATTTCGACCGGGTATCGCGAGGGCAGCTGATAAAAGCCGGTTTTGTGCGTTTTTGCAAGGGAGAGCTGGGTTTTGGATCCCAAACACCCAAGGGACGAACCCTAGAGAGAGAGAGCGACTTGGGAACATTCTTGGAGCTATTTTGGAGGATTTCTTCGCCATTGGAGCTCGGGAATCAAGCCCGGACTTGAAGACTGATCATCTGAAGATTCTTACTGCAGTCTCTCTCTTCTCTATGGAGTAACTTCCCTTCACTTAGGTTTTGAGGAACCCTAGCTATGTTTGTTTGATTGGATGATTGTATGAGTACTCTGACTTGATAATCTTGAGTTCATATTCAATCTATGCATGTTTTCACGATTCAATTCTGCTTTAGTCGAGATTATTGATTCTGCTTTGATCCTATGAAAGCGAATACCTGATTAGGTCAATAGAGCACCATAGATTGATAGTAGTGGATCGATTGCTTTAGTCGAGGGTTGATTCACTGCTTTGTATCGATTGAGAACCTCATTCGATAGAGGGAATCTAGTTCAGAACGCCTTGATCAGTTGTTCTAGAGAAGGATACGTCCCTCTAGGCAATTGACTCAAGAGGGCCTTGTTCCTTTAGTCGAGACTCAAGGTCTAGTCAAGGATTCTCCGCATTGTGAATGAAAGTGAAACACGTTAGAGATCATCAATCGTTAATCTGGCTAGTGGCTAGGGGGAATCATACCTAAGTGAGTTCCCAACCTGTAATTAGATTAACTTTAACTGTAGTTTGCTAGAGTAGTTTTTAGTTCTTTCATCTTAATCTGTTTTGCTAGATAACGAACTGAAGCTGAGTAATAGTAACTCTAGAGACCCGTGGATTCGATATTTATTGCTTGAGCCACTATACTGCAGTCCCTTTCATTGGTTACACTTGGCCATTGTTAGGAGTTGTGTTTTAGCGAGTCAAGTTTTCGATTGCGTCTCTCGGAGTCCCGAACAAACTGCTCCAGGAGAAGCTTCAGTTCATAGTTTGGATCTGGCTGTGGAGTGTAGCATGGCTCTGCAGAATGGCCCGTGAAGGCCGCCATGGGTAACTCCAACGCTGATGGCCCTTCTAGTTGTGGGAGAAAGTCTTCTTGGTAATGAGATTGTTCTTGATATGCCCAGGGGTCAGATTGTTCTCCATAGAAAGGGGGTTGGTACTGGAACCCGGATCCATAGTCTTCTCCTCCTTGATTGCTCCAGGGTGTCTCGGGGTAATACCACTCGGATGGTGGTGGATACCCCCAATGGTTGGAGAAGCCATGAGGATCCATGATTCAGATCTGCACCAACAAAAACAAAAACACCCAAGTGAAAAGCAAGGGTGGAAAACAAAAGAAAAACGCTAAAGTAACAAACTTCTGCCTTTCCTAATAATCTAGAAATTCCCCGGCAACGGCGCCAAAAACTTGACTCGCTAAAACACAACTCCTAACAATGGCCAAGTGTAACCAATGAAAGGGACTGCAGTATAGTGGCTCAAGCAATAAATATCGAATCCACGGGTCTCTAGAGTTACTATTACTCAGCTTCAGTTCGTTATCTAGCAAAACAGATTAAGATGAAAGAACTAAAAACTACTCTAGCAAACTACAGTTAAAGTTAATCTAATTACAGGTTGGGAACTCACTTAGGTATGATTCCCCCTAGCCACTAGCCAGATTAACGATTGATGATCTCTAACGTGTTTCACTTTCATTCACAATGCGGAGAATCCTTGACTAGACCTTGAGTCTCGACTAAAGGAACAAGGCCCTCTTGAGTCAATTGCCTAGAGGGACGTATCCTTCTCTAGAACAACTGATCAAGGCGTTCTGAACTAGATTCCCTCTATCGAATGAGGTTCTCAATCGATACAAAGCAGTGAATCAACCCTCGACTAAAGCAATCGATCCACTACTATCAATCTATGGTGCTCTATTGACCTAATCAGGTATTCGCTTTCATAGGATCAAAGCAGAATCAATAATCTCGACTAAAGCAGAATTGAATCGTGAAAACATGCATAGATTGAATATGAACTCAAGATTATCAAGTCAGAGTACTCATACAATCATCCAATCAAACAAACATAGCTAGGGTTCCTCAAAACCTAAGTGAAGGGAAGTTACTCCATAGAGAAGAGAGAGACTGCAGTAAGAATCTTCAGATGATCAGTCTTCAAGTCCGGGCTTGATTCCCGAGCTCCAATGGCGAAGAAATCCTCCAAAATAGCTCCAAGAATGTTCCCAAGTCGCTCTCTCTCTCTAGGGTTCGTCCCTTGGGTGTTTGGGATCCAAAACCCAGCTCTCCCTTGCAAAAACGCACAAAACCGGCTTTTATCAGCTGCCCTCGCGATACCCAGTCGAAATACCCGGTCGGGTATTTTGGGTCTCGACCGGGTATAATTGAAGCGCACCGTTTCGTCCTCAGGGAAAATCCCCGGTCTACCACCAAAATCCCCGACCGGGGATTTAAGGCCATCGCCCGGGCCCCCTTCTGCTTCTCACGGGTGCCAAAAACGATAAATACCCGGTCGGGTATTTTGCCAACCGACCGGGTATTTTCCTCCTGCAGCCCCCTTAGTCCCAACTCGGCTCCTTTCGACCCAGAACTCGTTTCTCCGCCTCGATTCCAACGCCGGGTCCTGAAATATGACATAAACACACAACCTAGCGTGAAATCGGCTTAAAACACGAGATTCCACATCACAAACGGCTTCAGAATAGGGGTGAAAACATGTGCAATTATCGGTCTATCAGTGGCCTCCAACGTGGCGCCTAGGTGGCATGGCGAGTCTAGCTGGACATGTGTTGGAGCTGAAGTGGGAGCTAAGGTGGCATCCACATCAACGTCCTGTTAACGGTGTTAAAGTTTTTAACGAAAATTGCTAATTTTGTTAAACGAGTTTCCAAAATGTGGCTACAAGTACAACTGTATATTTTTCAAAAAAGTGGCTATTATTGTCAAAAGCGCCAAAGCTATGGCTATGCAGGTGAATTAAGCCACAAGAATACGACGAACTTAGTTTACCATCAACTGAATTGCCTGCCAAATAATCTTGTTATTGCAAATTTAGTTCCCGCGGCGTAGCCGTGGGTATGTATTGCTCCTAGTATAAGCTGAAAAGGAAACAATCTCTCTCCCTCTCTCTACTCGTAGCCAATCTGTTGACTACTCTCCCTCCCTCCTCCATCCTTCTCCTCTTTCTATCTCGACGGGCGGTTGTTTGAAGTGAACATTAAAGATGAAGAGAGGATTTGCCGCTTTGTGTGTTCTCTCGAGTCTTGGTGAGAGATGCTAGGTTTTCGATTTGGGAGGATTGAGGAAGACACATCTCCTTTCATCTCATCGGTACATTATTTTTTCCCCTAATTCATTACGTCAAACTGACACTGTTGAATCGTGAACCGGTATCAAACCGATATGGTCTAACCATCAACTTTTTCGGTTTTCACGGACTTCTAATTCTAAAGCTAAATAAATGGCTTCCTGACAGTCGACTGTGAGCATGGTTGTCTCGAACCTGGTTGAACCGGTTCTTGTCATGAAATCGGTATGACCGACATGAGCGAGTTACGAATTCTAAGGAAAGTGACATTGTATTATTGAATTTAATTAATAAAAAATTAATTGATTAGTTATTTCATGAATTTAAAAGTCAAAAGTTGATGTTATTTGTTGGATTGTAAGTAAATTGTCGTCAAATATATTTTATATGATTAAATTTATCGAATGTTAATGATTTTCACAATTATATATATTTTTTTATACCAGCATGAACCGACGTAGACCAATTATACCACCGGCCGTACCCTTCTACCTGCAAACCGGCCCACCGATATAAACCAGTTTGACAACAATGATTGTGACTTGTGAGGCCAGTTCCGGTCAGACCAGGTCCAACAGACCGGCCGGCTCACGATTTAACAACCTTGCTGTGTTATCCTTTCCTGGGAAATCTTCAGCACACAGCCACTCTCTTTACGAAATTACAAGCGCCGCTCTCTCTCTTGTTAAATTAACGTCAAACCATTTAAAATTCGAAACTCTCCCATTCGATTCAATCCTTTCCTTTCCTATACAGTACGAAAGTCAGATCCACATATCCAAGGTTGTCAAACCGGTTTATGCCGGTACGCCGGTTTTACAAGTGAAATGGTTCTACCGTGGTAGAACCAGTTTCATGCCGGTTATGCCGGTTTGTACCGGTTTTACCACAATTTCTGGATATGAATATAATAACCCATCACAAAATATATATCCAAATTACATCCATAATAACCCATCTGCTTTGATCTGAAAAATTGAACATGGACTTTACAAAATTGAACAACAAATTGGAGATTAAGATTGCCAAACCCAAATGGGAAAAGGGGGTCATAATTTTCGTCCCCAACATTCATAGGGAGCTGATCAACTCTCTTGAACCATGTTCTGGGAAGCTTTCCAGTCAAAGTTGTTACCTGAGGCGAGGGCTGGAGGTGAATTGAGGAAGGTGGCCTGCTGGTGCCACTCGATCGCCGCGCACAGGGAAGAAGAAGGGCTGCCGGTTGCCGCGTTTCCTGCCTCGCCGGACGATTTTTTTGCTGGGAAAGATGAACGCGACGGATCGAGACGCGCCGGGCTGCTGTCGAATCGAGACGCGGCGGAAGGAGGCCGCGGCGGAAGGAGGCTGCGGCGGAAGGAGATCGTGACTGGTGGTGGTGGGCGTCTTGGCGGCGTCTGGGGAGCTCGGCTGCGAAGTGGAGAAGAATGGGAGGGATGGGCGGCGAATTGGAGAAGAATGGGAGAAGAATGGTGCTGGGCGTTTGGGGAGCTCGGCTGCGCGCTGTGAACCCTATTTTTTTTTTTTTAAAACAAAACGCCATCGTTTTTGCCATTTGGCCGGCATCTCCCAACCGGTCGAACTTCCGTAATTCCCGGTTTTGACCGGATTTGACCGATTTTGACCGATATTGACTGGAGGGTTGTGCCGGTGGTATTCCAGCCGGTTTCATGACCGGTACCGGTTGGACCTGGTTCAACCGGCCGGCATACCACTGGCATGACAACCATGCACATATCACATTCCCCTAGTCGTTCTAGTCTTCCAAGTTCTACCTTCAATAGATCTCGCATTTCGCGAGAGAGATTTGGATTGGAGATATAGAAAAATTCTGGGGAATTACAGACTGCTGGTCTGGATCGATCATTGGTTTTCCTAATCATTCCATTCCAGTAAACTAGGAGAACGACAATGGGGGCATACAGGGCCGACGACGATTATGATTACTTGTTCAAGGTCGTGTTGATAGGCGACTCCGGCGTCGGCAAATCTAATCTCTTGTCCAGATTTACCAGGAACGAGTTCAGCCTCGAATCCAAATCCACGATTGGCGTCGAATTTGCGACTCGCAGCATCCACGTCGATGACAAGGTCGTCAAGGCCCAGATCTGGGACACTGCTGGCCAAGAAAGGTAATTGCGCTTTCGGATCTTGAAAATTTCTTGCGTTCTGGGTTTAATTTGCTACCGTAGCTCTCACATTCCCTTCACGTAGGTAGATCTATGCCTTGAAAACGCTTAACGATTACCCGCCTCCGCCCTCTGATTTTTTTTTCCCCGGCTCGTCGCTTCATGGTTTTTTCTTTCCCTTTTGCGTCTGCTGTTTCTTTCGGGATTTGGGAAGGTTTAAGATGATTAGGGTTCATTTGCTCTTCATTTTTACCTCTTGTGGAGTGAATGTTCTTGAGGTTTGTGGGTTTAGGATGATGTTTTATACCGAGTATGATATTTATGATGTGGTCATCAAGCTGTTTCAACTGCTTCTCTTCATTCTTGAGCCTGTAGAGTTTTGGTGCACCTTCAGTTTGGTTCTTTTCCATACTTATTTCTTCTTGGTTTGATGTTGTCTTTCACTTTTACCTTGAACTGTTAATTTGAGTTGTCACGTACGTCACCAGATTTTCTTTGCAATGTCGTCTCTGTTTGTAGGGTGGATTTTAGAGTTAACATGTTGAACTAGTGGTAGTTATAGAATTAAATACTGTATATGAAGCATGTTTCATGCTAAAGTTGGGACTTGCTTCGTATGGAAAGTTTTGGTGCATGGTTACTGTTATAAGGATCTTGCTTCATAAGGGGCTTGGGGATCTAATCTTAGAAATGTAAAGACTGATTTTTGCTGTTTCTTTTCGAACTGTGTTGAAGCTTCGGAATGGTTACTAGAATACTGGATCATTAGTATGCCAATAGTATTCTGTATTCTACCAACGAAAATGCATTGTAATACTTTACTTTACAATGGAACTGTGGGAACTGTCAAAGATTTCTTTTCTATTATCATAGGGCACTTGTGGCGATGGAAGAAGATGGAAACCTCATTGCCAGTTCTTCCTGAATTTTAATTTTAAAGTGCATTGATAGAGATATATTTTAATTTGTCATGTCTAAGTACCAGGTTCTTTTGTAAGAGATAATGGCTAGCTAGCTATGCACATTTGCTGATGCAAAGCACTACGTTAGATACTATGCTATGTTTTTCCTTTGACCTTCAGGCAGCTTACACGAAAAATATATTGTTGTTTTCGTGTTATCAATTGATTTGAGCACAAGGCAGGAACTCCTATTGTGGTTGCCTATTCATTGATCAGTGTTGTTCCCTTTTAGCCTTCATGTTGTATCTAATCCTGGATAGATGATATATACCCTCTGCACCTGCACCTGCACCTTTTGTAATATCTTCGGCTCAAGTATGGGCGTGATCTAGGCTGTCAGACTAGTTTAGTTTGCTTGATTCTCAGTCAGAAACATCAATTGCAAGATGTATTACATCTTATATTCGAAATTGTGAATCTTTGTCTGCACATCCGTCATGTGTGCTCGGTAAAGAGTTTGCAAAGTTGTCTCTCTAGCGCAACACTAATTGATTAGTCTGTACGAACTCCTTGATTTTACTGTTTTTTCATGCTTGTATAAACTGAGGCATCAAAAGATAAGCTGATATTACCCCTGTTTCGGATGCATGTTTTTTAGTTTGTAATCTTGTCAGTTTTTGATAACTCCATACAAGTACTGTTTGTTCTTCCTACTTTTATTGAGCTTTCCTTCTTACCTCTATATGCCATTTGTTTAAGTTCTGGCTTCAGCATCTCTTTGCCACTTCTGTTTCCTTAGTAGATGTAGTTCTTATGTTTTGCTGTAATGAGCCTTCAAGTCGGGTCCTGATTAAAAAGCTTTGCTGCTGGCAGATACCGGGCAATCACCAGTGCATACTACAGAGGTGCAGTAGGTGCATTGCTTGTCTATGATGTCACCCGGCATGTTACTTTTGAAAATGTGGAGAGGTGGTTGAAGGAGCTCAGGGATCACACAGATGCAAACATTGTGATCATGCTTGTCGGGAACAAAGCGGATCTGAGACACCTTCGTGCTGTTCAAACTGAGGACGCCAAAGCATTTGCCGAGAGAGAGAACACATTTTTCATGGAGACATCTGCACTGGAGTCCTTGAATGTCGAGAATGCATTCACTGAGGTGCTGACTCAAATTTACCGGGTTGTCAGCAGGAAGGCACTTGATGTTGGGGATGACCCAGCAGCCTTGCCCAAGGGACAGACCATTAGTGTGGGAAAGGATGATGTATCCGCCGTCAAGAAAGTTGGGTGCTGCTCGGCCTAATAGTTTGATAGTAATGGAAAAAGGTGTTGCCGGTATGAGTTTCTGATTAAGAATTTTGCAATTTCTGGCTTTGGAGAGAGAACATGGTTTCTGAAGTACATACCAGAATGTATTCTCAGTTCTCACTCTCGTATGTGGAATGCTCGGATGGCAAACTGTAGTTTGATGGCTAGAAAAGGAAGAGAAGTTATAGAGTCGTGAAGAGAAGCTTTAAGGGTTGAGATCGTAGAGACTTTCACCTTTGGTTTGCATTTCCCTTGTCGCCTGAAATATCCCTACCGGCCCTCTGTATGGCCTTTTCATTTGGATAATTTTCTCATTTGAAGTGCTGTGATTTGTAGTCAGTTTACGACGATCCCCGTTCTTAAGCACACTTTGTTGGTGCAATTTAGTAAGTAAGCGAATTAATTATGTTCAAATGGAATCTGCCGTTTTTGTGTTACATCTTCTAATATCGGAGTCTAAATATCGATTGCAAGGAATTAACAACACGTACGGACCTGTGCTCTTTCCGTTTCAGACGGCAACCAATTGTGATTGGGTTTATGAGGGTGGATCATGGTAATACCGTAACAAATCCATTATGGAGTATCAGACACATTATAGAATTCAGTTATTCATTCATTGAAAAGCTTATGTTACTTGATGAATTCTTTGTTTCTTCTCTATGATTCATGGATGGGGTAAGGCTGGTTATGCACACCTTGGTCTTTATAAGGAAAGTATTATTTTTTTGCTTCAAAGTATAGGAATTATTATTCCGTATTATTAGTCAGGTTTGCATGGAGCGGTGTAGGAGTCTTTTCTCCTTTACGTAACGTTAACCCTAGTTGCACTTGAAGAATAGTGTATATATATTCATCCTCTTGTAATCGACTGCCGACTAATAAGAATAGCAAGAGAAAGTTCTATTTCTCCGTGGAGTAAGCTCATTCGCACTGAATGAGAAGAACCACGTAAGTCTCGTGTTCGTGTTCTTTACTTTTCGCTTTACATATTTTACATGGTATCAGAGCTGGTCATATAGATCATAATGGCTACAATAACTGAGGATGGAACTGATGGTGCGGTGGTCACCAGCGGCGGCAGTGGAGGTAGTGTGGTTCCTCCGATTATTCCTGCGACGTTGAAGATCCAAGCATCGAACAATCCTGGCCACCTGTTTCTTTGGGAGTTGCTGAATGACTCAATTTTTGGAAAATGGGTAACCGATATGAGGGAAGCCCTAATCGCCAAGAATAAACTTGGTATTGTGGATGGATCTGTTGTGAAGCCCGAAGCAGTGGGAGAGCTCCAAGAGGCATGTCTGCAATGCGATGGCACTTGTGAAGGGATGGCTCAAGACATCAATGGACAAGGAAGTTCACAGCTCGATTCCTCGCGCGAGAGATGTGGGTTGACCTAGAGGTCAGGTTTGGAAAGGGATCGATTCCTCTCGCCTACGAGCTTAGGCATCTGATTAGCTCCTTAAGGAAAGAGAAACTTAGCGTCTCTACTTTCTTCACCAAGCTGCGGGGTTATTGGGAAGAGATGCAGACGATAAAGCCAATTCTGCTTTGCACATGCGGGAAATGCACGTGTGATGTAGGGAAGCAAGTCATGGAGAATCAGGAAAGTGATCGCCTTTTCGATTTTCTAATGGGGTTGGGAGATGCTTTTGCTATGGTGAAAACCCAAATTTTATCCATGAGACCGACACTGAATTTGGGCGAGGCTTATTGACTTGTTGCCACACAGGAGCAACACAAACAAATTTCAGCAAATAGAAGGCCTCATGTGGAGGCAGCAGCACTTCAAAACTCTCGTGGTCAAGACGCAGTGGAGGCTGGATGAATTAGTTAGAGAGGACGCAATGCGGATGACAAGAGCGTACCTCATTGTAGTCACTGGCAAAAGCGTGGCCACCTAAAAGAAAGTTGCTTTGAGTTGATTGGATATCCAGCTGGATGGGTCGAGAGGAAGCCACGTCCAGGTGATAGAGAAGAGCGGTAGAGGGAATTGAGGTCGATCAAACTCGAGGGCAGCGCAGTCATCATCGGGAGGAGGAGTATCTATTCATGGACTAAAATCTGACCAAGTTCAACAACTCTTGCAGTTTCTCAACCAGAGCAACACGTCACAATCTCAAAACTCAGAGTCACAAGTGCACATGACTGGTAAGCTCTCTGATAGTTCTTAATGGGTTATTGATTGGAGGTGCAATGAATATATCACCAATGATGAAAGGTTGCTAGAAAACTCGGGTTCTGTTAAAGGGTATTTGCCGGTTAGTATTCTGAATGGGGATAAAGTGGCAGTTATACGAGTTGGTGACGTAAGTTTGTCGAATGGAATGAAACTCACTCGTGTTCTCATCATACCATAATTAAAGTGTAATCTTCTTTCGGTCAGCAGGTTGACTCGGGACTTTAATGTCGCTTTGACATTCTTATGCGATTTTTGCGTCATCAAGGACTTACACTCCAGGAAGATGATTGGGACGGGACAGCTACGTGATTGATTGTACTATCTTCGATTGCTAGGAGGGCCCGTGTCGCATGCCTTAACATCCAGTGGTGATGATGGAACGGGGGAGCTTTCGCATTCGCGTCTGGGTCACCCGTCACTGGAGAAATCTTTTTTCTTATTTATTTCAATTCAGAATAAATGCAAGGTTGATGTCTGCGATTCTTGTATTCGTGCTAAACATACAAGACTACCTTTTCCTAGAAGTACGATAAGAACAAATCGTTGTTTTAAGCTTGTTCATGTGGATATTTGGGGCGGTTTCAAGTTTCCAACTCAAAATTCAGCTCAATATTTCCTTACCATTGTTGATGATTTTAGCAGAGCTACCTGGGTGTATTTTTCGAGTTAGAAATATGATGTTGAGGGATATTTGAAGATGTTCATCAATATGGCTGAAACACAGTTTGATAAGAAGGTAAGTAGAGTTCAGGCTAACAATGGATTGGAGTTTCAGACAAACAGCTTGCGTTCCTTTTATGAAGACCGTGGGATTTTACTGCAGACGTCGTGCACAGATACTCCTCAGTAGAATGGAGTCATCGAGCAAAAACATCGCCACTTTCTAGAGACAACTCGTGCCTTGAGGTTTCGGGCCAACCTGCCATTGCGTTTCTGGGGGGAATGTATACTTATTGCTGCCTACTTAATCAATCGAATCCCTTCCAAGGTTTTGCAGAATCGAACACCTTATGAAGTCCTACTTGGTAAGCTGCCTTCCAATAAGCATCTTCGAGTTTTTGGTCGCTTAAGTTATGGGAAGGACATGCACATGGGTGTTTTGAAGTTTGGGGAACGGGGTCGTCGATCCTTCTTTATGGGTTATCCTGCCTTTCAAAAAGGCTATCACCTTTATGATTTGAACACCCACACATTTTATACTAATGGCACCTGGTCTTTGGTTGAATTACCCCCGGGAAAGAAAGTTGTCTCCTCCAAGTGGGTCTTTAAGATTAAGTACAGACAAGACGGTGCCATTGAGCGTTACAAAGCTGGTTTAGTAGCCAAAGGTTTCACACTTTCACTCAAACAGAGAGGATAGACTATCATGACACATTTGCGCCTATGGCTAAGCTTTTCATTGTTCGATGTCTCCTTGCGGTGGCTGCGGTTCGCGGTTGGGAAGTTCACCAACTCAATGTTGACAATGTGTTCCTACATGGTGATATTCAGGAGGAAGTTTATATGCAGATACCCCCTGATTTTGAAGCACCAGGTGATTCGCGTGTCTGCCACTTGCACAAATCCATTTATGGACTGAAGCAAGCCTCTCGGAACTAGTATGCCAAGTTCACCACTACCCTCACTGATCTTGGTTTTCAGAGATCTCGGGCAGATTACTCAATGTTTTTTCGCCGCCATCGAGATACCTACGCTGTCGCCTTGATCTTTGTCGATGACGTAATTCTTGCAGGAGATGGTATGGAGTTTATTCAACATGTTAAAGATACCCTTCATCATCAGTTTGGAATCAAGAACCTTGGTCCTCTTAAATATTTCATGGGCATTGAAGTGGCCAGGTCTCGGGTTGGGGTTGCACTCTGTCAGCGAAAGTATACTCTTGATCTTTTGTATGATAGTGGTATTTTAGCTGGGCGCCCCATCTAATTTCCGATCGAACAGCAACACCAACTTACCAGGCCCCCGATGATGACTATGCTCGCGTCTCGGCAGAAGTTGCTGCTGCGTATCGTTGCTTGATCAGACATCTTCAATATCTTACAGTCACATGTCTAAATATTGTTTATGCATTACACATTCTGAGTCGATATGTACACGCTCCCACCTTGGAGCATGTGGCCGGAGCTGAACGTGTCCTGCTGTACTTGAAGAGTGCCCCTGGACATGCATTTTGCTTCCCTATACTGGGGATTTGCGCCTGACGGCTTACTGCGATATCGATTGGAGGGGGGGGGGGGGTTGTCGATCATCTAGGAATTCCACTTCTGGCTATTTTGTCACCCTTGGCGCCGCTCCATTTTCATGGCGTACTAAGAAGCGGTCGGTTGTAGCCCGCTCTTCTGCAGAAGCCGAGTATCCCGTGATGGCTGGCGCTGTGAGCGAAGTTATATGGCTTCGTGCACTACTTCTTGATTTGGGCATTCCATCTGTCTACCTTACTGTTCTTCATTGTGACAATCAGGCTGCTCTCCACATCGCAGCGAACCAAATTTTTCACGAGCGCACGAAGCACGTTGAAATGGGTTGGTACTTTGTTCGGGATTCTTCCTTAATGTTCTTCATTGTTACTTCTGGTGAGATTCTTCCTCAGAAGATTTCCACTCAGCATCAGCGGGCGAATTTGTTTGCTAAAGGGCTCGGTGGTGATTGGTTTCAGGAGTTGTTGTCCAAGCTGGGCATTTGCAATCTGCATGCCTCAGCTTGCGGGGGAGTATAGGAATTATTATTCCTTATTATTAGTCGGGTTTGCATGGAGGGGTGTAGGAGTCTTTTCTCCTTTACGTAACGTAACCCTAGTTGCACTTGAAGAATAGGGTATATATATTCATCCTCTTGTAATCGGCAGCCGACTAATAAGAATAGCAAGAGAAAGCTCTATTTCTCCGTGGAGTAAGCTCATTCACACTGAATGAGAAGAACCACGTAAATCTCGTGTCCGTGTTCTTTACTTTTCGCTTTACATATTTTTACACACAGGGACACTGGTGCATAAAGCTGTTATATGTGTTTCTTTGATTATAATAAATGTGCACCATGTCAAGAAAAAAAAGACTGACTTGCCTAGCTTTTGAAGTTTACTCTCCTCTGATAGAATTCTAATGGTGTTGTTGCATTTTTTTCCTCATCTGAAGTTTAAAAAGGAAGTACATAAAGCAGCATATATTCAGATATCGGAAAACCTCCTTATAAGATGGTGATTCCTAAAATAGAATGCTTTATATGGTTTAAAAGACTTCTTTACTGTTTTTGTTAAAGTGCTAGGGAATTTTGGTTTTGCAGATATGAGCAATTTAGTATCATCATTCCCTTTGGTTCCTGCATCTACTTTGAT